GATCAAGTGGGAGCAAGCCATAGATGATGAGATGAGGTCACTTGAGAAGAACGACATATGGGTGTTGACTGAGTTACTTGCAGGGAAGAGAGCTTTGCTGAACAAGTGGGTGTTCAGAATCAAGACTCAACCAGATGGAAAAAGAAGGTTCAAGGCTCGTTTAGTGGTTAAAGGATATTCACAAAGGAAAGGTATTAATTATGTTGAAATATTTTCTCCTGTTATGAAGTTAACCTCTATTCAAATTCTGTTGAGTATTATTGCATCGGAGAATTTGCTTCTAGAGCAAATGGATGTAAAAACAACATTTTTACATGGAGATCTGGACAAAGAGATCTATATGCAGCAACCGGAAGGATTTGTGGTTCCAAGCAAGGAACACATGGTGTGAAGCTCACCAGAAGCTTGTATGTACTAAAGCAAGCACCAAGGCAGTGGTACAAGAAGTCTGACTCCTTCATGACCAAGAGTGGATTCTGCAAAGCTGAAAAGGATCTGTATTGTTACTTCAAGAAAAAAACTGATTCATATGTCTTTCTACTCTTGTATGTAGATGATATATTGATTGTAGGATCTAGTATGAGGGAGATTAACAATCTGAAGACAAGGTTGTCTACAGCGTTTGAGATGAAAGATTTGGGTCTACCAAAGCAGATTTTGGGGATGAGAATTTCTCGAAATAGATCTGTTGTCACTTTAAATCTATCTCAAGTTTTGTACATTGAGAAGGTATTGAGCAGATTCAGGGCCAATGATGCTAAACCCAGGACTACTCTGTTGGCAAATCACTTTAAATTGTCAAAAGAGCAGTCACCCAAGACAGCCGAGGAGCGTGAGCATATGGCACTTGTTCCATATGCTTCAAAAGTTGGGAGCTTCATGTATGTTATGGTCTGCACTAGACCTGATATAGCACATGTAGTGGGAGTTGTTAGCAGGTACATGGCGAACCCGGGGAAAGAGCATTGGGAAGCTGTGAAGTGGCTTCTGAGATATCTGAGAGGTATATCCAGTACTTCACTTTGGTTTGGCAAAGGCAAGGTGACTCTACAGGGTTTTGTGGATGCTGATCTTTGTGGGAATGTGGACTCGAGCAAGAGTACATCCGGGTAAATTTACACCATAGGTGAAACAGCAGTGAGTTGGATGTACAGGCTTTAGAATTGTGTTTCTCTTTCATCTAGTGAAGCTGAGTATGTGGCAATAGCTGAAGCTGGGAAAGAGATGATATGGCTATTATCTGGAGGAATTGAGCAAGAAGAAGAGCGAGAAGTTTCTTTACTCAGATAGCCAGAGTGCCATACAATTGGTGAAAATCCAGTCTATCATTCGAAGACAAAGCACAGTAGAAGGCGGTACCATTTCACTCGCAGGGTAGTGGAGGATGGTGATATGTGCTCGGAGAAGATAGAGGGTGCAAAGAACCACGCAGACATGTTGACAAAATATGTGGATATTGGAAAATTGGGGTTATGCAAAACCTCGGTTGGTCTTCTGAAGTTGTTGCTACAGATATTGCGATGTGGTAAAGATGTTAATGATGAAGAGTTTTTTTCTAGAATGAATTTTTTTTGGATGACTGAATCAGTCTCCAAGTGGGAGAATTGTTAGGTTGTGGAGTCTGATTAATATTTGATGTACTGTCATATATTAATGTTCACGCGGTTCACCCTCCGCGGCGAGGTTGCCGGGGGGTTATTCTCCATTTATTCTCTGTAACTAAAATACTCTGAATTATTAATATACACATAACCGCCGTGGGAGTTTACTCATGAGATGCTACCACGAACTATTGGTTTCTCTCTCTAGATCTATCATCTCTCTCTCTCTCTCAAAAGTTCTTGTGTTCTTCATTCATCAAGTGTGTGTGTGGATTCAATCCTAACACTACACGCACAACAGTTGTCAATGATTTTTTAAGAAAATATTTTTAGTTTCTTTCATCTTTTTTCAATTTTATTTTTTTTTCTTTTAGAACTTGTAAACGATATACATACACAAATTGATCCATCAAGTTTTAGATTGCTATAATACTTACCTCAAAATCATTCAGTTGTTTTTTTGGATTTATAAATTTCTGGAAAATTGAAGAAAAAACTTATTATTCTCCATCGTGTTTATCGGATTTGAGCGAATCTATGAGTGCGAGTAAGTTTTGTGTACGAAATCTACACATTTCTTGTTACTTGATTTCAAATTTAGTTTGAAGATTTGAGCTAAAAATTAGAAAATTTCATTGATGTACAAAGCTGTTAAAATCAAAAAAGAAATGTGGGTTTCTGGGTTTGAATTTAAATCTGAAAATCTTCATTTGCAATTACTAATTTGAAGAGACTAAATTGAATCCTTATGAGAATTTCATTGTTGAGTTCTTGAGTTTGAAAACATCCAAATCAATTGCTTTGAACTAAAAAAATTGACGAATGAAAGACGAAATACAAATCTATGGACAACCATTGTCAAAGAGTTTCAAAGCTCAAGTATGAATTTTTTAATTTGTCGGTGAATTAATCTTTTTCAGTGATTATTTCCTCCTCATTGTCGGTTCGTTCGATAAATTTCTCTAACAAATATAAAATTTATCATTCATCAAAGATGGGGTTGGGACTGTTGATTCTTCTCCTCCAAAGTGAAAAAGAAAGTTATATCTTCCATTAAAAGGGTTTCATTTTGCTTATAAAATAAATAAATAATATATAATACTATTTAATTATAACAAAAGTATAATAAAAATATTCTTTTTAGTGTTTTTCGCTTCTCACTCTCTCAAAGAGAGTGAATACACTCTCTATGCCAACTCATCATTTAAGGAGTCATTTATTTCATTTTAAAATAGTCTTAGGGGGTATAGGACACCCGTGAAGTTGCAGTGTGTAGTTGAAATTTCAAGTATAGGTTGGTGGGGAGTTTTAGACTATTTTCTCTATTAGGAATAATCTAATGTTTAAGGTTAAGCACTTAGATCTAAGCCCGACGTTATCCGAAGAAATAATTTTCAAAAGTTATATTTGCATAACATTTGAATTTTCCTGTATAACTTTGAACTCCAACATGAATGGACTTGGTTGCACCATGTAATTTAACAAACTATCTAGTCTTTGTATTCTCCACCCCTATTCCCTCTCATTTTTATAAATAAACGAGAAAATGGTCAAATTTCCCCTTAACCTATTATCGAATTTTGAACTACACAGTTATTCTTCACGAGAGTTCTGTCACCTCCCTACACTATTTTAAAATGGAATAATTACACCCTTAGATGCTGACATGACATAGAGAGTGTTCTCACTCTCTTGGAGGCACGTGGAAGTCAGCATAATTAATAAATAATTTTATAATAATATTTTTAAATTTATCTTTTTATTAGATTTTTTTTTTACTTTTCTCTTTAAGTTTTTTGTTTCTTTTTCTTTTGTTCCCTCTCTTTCTCGTTACTCAACATTTATTCCATCACCATTTCCTCCACCTTGAACCACTATCATTGCTCTAACCACATTTTTTGTCCATCTTCTAATATTTTTTAGATTTGCTTCACCAGTTTCTACAAATTAACGCTGCAAATCATCAAAAATAAAATCTGGAAAAAAATAAAATTATTAAACACCTTCCATAATAAAAAAAAATTCATTCTATTATTAGATTTTTTAAAATTATTGGAGAAACCAAATCAATTAAAACAATTATGACTATATAATAGATTTTTCGATGATGAATTTCATAAACCAACCAAACATGAGTTTTGGGTTTATAATTTGGGTCATCATCCAACTTTTTTTCATTTTTATCAGTATCAAGTTATTTCAAAATATCAACATCATTAATCTACCTTCTAATCGATTTTGGGTTAGTAACATACATCAATCATGAGATCTTATATTTAATCTCTATTGTTGTTTGGTTAAGAACCAAGAATTTAAACATCGCAAAACTGTAGTAAAATATCACAAATTTGGTGTCATGGAGACAAAGAAAAAACATAATAAAAATTTAAAAAAGAAAAAAGAAAGGAGATGAATTATCAAGCTTGTCAAGATGCCTGAAGGATATTATGAAATGATGAGAAAATAATAATAAAAATAACTTTGATTTTTTTTCATGGGTGAGTGATTTGAAATTAGAAGGGAATGAAAAACAAAAAAAGAAGAAGAAGACGAAGAAGGAGGAGGAACAAAAAAGTATACATATTTTTATAATTAATGAAAAAAGTGATAAAGAGAAAAAAAAAATATAAATAGTAAAAAATTAACAGCTGGCGCAAGTGAGCATCACAACATATTGAGAATGTAGTTGTCTAGTTTTAGGATGGTATACATTTTGTTTTTAAAAACTATGGAGGGTAATTGGACTCCCACAAAGTATAAATGTGTAGCCGAGAATTCGATAATAGATTAGAGAGGTATTTGTCTATTTTCTCTAAATAAACTAAAGATATTTAAGTTATATAAGATATCAATAACAAAGAAAAATATTTTACATGTATATATCCAAAATACTTGCTCAAGATATGACAAGAACAAGATAGTTCAGGTAGGTAGAGAGAAATAAATTATCTGAAATCATTTTAAGGTGACAAACAACCCCTCTCTCAACCAATATGGAGAAGTAATTGATACCCTATATAGGAAAAATTGAGTATCAGAAGTGTGAATAATATAACATGAGAATGCAACATTGAATTAATCCAGAATTAAAATGAGTATAACGATAATACTAAGTTAAGAAAATAAATATTAGCCCTGAGTTAACTTCTAAAATTAACTCATAAATTGATAATTATATATGACCACATAAGAAGACAAAAGGACTTGTCGATAAAAGAGAATTGCTCAGATAGTAAGCAAGTCACACCTTCAACCTCTACAACACGTTGTAGGATGGAGTCACCAACCGAGCAAATACGGTGGGAGGGTATTCAATTTTTGCTAATCAGCTCTGCATTTCCTCAACTTCACTCAAAAGATGAAGCAACAAATAAGAAGGAAGAGAGAAAGCCAGTGACATTACAACAAAGCTATCAATCACAGATATTTTCACTGAATCAAAATTCTTTTACCAATTATAGATATCTAGCATGTCTACAATATACACAGCACAGAATACACAATTTTAAGCTTATATCCACTGCCTGCAACCCTCCACCCCGCCGAGGCCTCCCCGAAAACAAACACACTAATAAAAAGACATTCACACTGCTCTAAGAATCTATAAGAAAATAACACAGGAAAAAAGAATGTTTTTTTCTGGTTTTTCTAAAAGGTTTCTGAAACAAAGGCCATATAGATGCTTTACTTTCTTCATGGCAAATTCCTCCTCAGATGTGCCTGTTTGGATCCTGTCAGTCCACATGTGTATGAATTCGGTCCCAACTGTGTGCATTGATATGCTAGTTCGTGCAATTGAAGCCACGACAAATTGAAAGCCAGATTATAAGAACCAATAGCAGGATGATGCCAAACACAACCAACTTTATTTTCATATTCTGATACCACATCTTCCGCCGTATTTGAGTCCCCTTTGTCTTGAATTCAAGGGCCTGAAAGCAAACATATACAGTTTGAAACATTTTACACATGCCATTAACACTTGCTAATATAATAAAATTACCAACCGAACTTACCGAATCACGCAGGTTCTCAGTCTTGCCAGATAGTATAGTCAAGTCTTCCCCTCTTTCAATGGCCTGGCATGTTTAAATTAAGTCAAATGAATAGAAGTTTAAATAGCTTGAGTTGTTGCTTTTCCAAATCACATAAATGCTTATAAAAGCCTAGAGCAATTGCTGAAGTTCACAATCCCATAATGCTGAAACACATGTCAAAGTTAACATCTGACTTGCAGATTGCAACAAAAGCACATTGCATCATCGCATCAGATATATTAAGTATTGCTGAATACCAGAATCAGGCATGTCAACAACCCTTATTAATCGATTATGGATTCAAGAAGCACTAACAACTACGTAACTAGTCAATCTACCATGGTACAATGATGCTAAGCTATTAAAGGGAGTTGGCGTCCTTGCTAGCTGGAACTTGGATATCCTTGTTCTGTAGGTCTAATTTTGTAAGTCTGGAGCTTCAGCCAAAAAAAAAATAAAAAATAAATTCTAAGATGACCTCCAAACTTGGTGGAAAGTCTATTTTTCATGCATAAACTAAAAGTAATTTGGAACTTTTTTTCTGAAATATTAATGTTACAGTTATTGGCATTATAAGCAGTCATTCATCTTCGTTCAAGTTACTGTTAACGCACTTCATAGCTTCAAAAGCTGAAATCTCATGGAACACATAGTGAGGTCAGAGACCGAGTAAATCCATGAGAGAACCAACTTAATAAGACAGAAATTATTGATGCATCACACAATAGATCAGTGCCCTGCAGACACTTTTCTCTTCTTTTTTTAAACTAAATTTGTCCATGTCATTGGATGCATCGTGCAACCACAATCAGAGAGAATCACATGGTTATTACCTCATCAAACAACCACAACTCAATCACATTTCAAGACGCTACTCCTTAACAGTACATTGAAACTTAAAGAAGCTGGCAAACAACAGGGTTCACCATCGCTTAGATGCTTCTCAAGTGAAAAGGTACAGGTTCGTAATTTTGACAGGATTTTGTGATTCATTAAGGAACATGGGATACTATAATAACCAGATGCTAAATCCAAAAAGATTACATGTATTATTAACTATCAAAAAATGAACAAAGATCAAATATGATGACGAGTATCTAGTATGACATGAACGGTCCATGCCAACTACATGACTTAAGATGTAAGTGTTTCTGAACAAAGATTTGTTAGTCAAAAAGGAAGATCTTAGACAAATGCAAATAAAAATAGGAGATAAGATATTCTCAAAAAAAAAAAAAGGAGATAAGATAAATTCCATAAAATAGACAAAAGATGTATTGTTGTAAATTAGGTGAAGTCAACGAATTTTAAGCTCAAACCAAGATGCGAACTCAATTCTCTGAAAGCAAAATTGCACAGACTCTACCCGCACAAGACCCCCCCCCCCCCCCCACTTAGTGAGATTCCCTAGGTATGTTGTTGTATAAAACCAATTTTTATTTTACCTATGGAACTTCTAAAATTATTTTGGAAACTGTCTATGGTATACACAAATGATTTTCAGAAGGGACGGGGTAGTGTCGGAAGAATAAAAAGATTTAATTAGGTACCATGTAAGGTTCAAGATTATGTTTTCTAATAAGCTATCAGGTCCAAATATATTCATCCCACATTTGTGGACGAAATTAATGAAGGTTCATCTTTAACTACAAATCCATCACACAATAAGACGTTCATGTAGCTGTACAAAGAGGAGGAATAAATTACTTTTATCAGGATATACTAAGCAAAATTCATCCTTCTCAAAACCAAAAAAGATAAAGATGTCAGAGGACAATATGTATCATAAAGAAACAAGTGCAACCAGATTGCAGAAGATAATATCATATGCAAAGCATCTTTCTCCAGTTTACTTGGCATACCTTGTCAATATTCTCCAACATAATACTTTTGACTTCAGACACTTGGGCTTTAACTTTTAGTAGTTTCTCAATCTCGTCAGCGTGGTCAATTATATACTGCATGTGTTCTTTCATGACAGGTCTGAAAAGTTTGACATATTTTGCCTGTTATGCTTCTGAGTTCTGTGTAATAGAATACACCTGCAGTAGAATATGAGAATAAATATTTTTTAAGCAACATACCCGAACTCTTTATTAAGACTTTTAGCCACAGCCGTATCTGCTTTACCACCACCATATCTTTTATTAAAATCAGCTCTCACACGTTCCAAAAATGCAATAGAAATTTGCTTGCCCACAGATTCTTTGGAAACTACACAATAAGCTGCAAAAGAATAACAGGTATTAGATCAGACTTGCACAAGATTCAGCTGTTTCATCAGCCTATAGTATAAGACAGTCGGAGGAACATAAGTGAAAGGAGGTCAATAGAATAGCAAAAAGTGATTAATCACTTCCCTGCAAGTATCAAGCGAGAGCAAGCTCAAACAGATTTACTAGGAAACACCAGACAATTCTCGACACTAGAGCATATATCTCTTTTTTAATAGGATCACTAGACCATATAGCTAATGATATCATTTAACCATTCAAAAGGTTAAGGCTCTTTGAAATCATCAGCAGAGACACCGTATCAGAAAAAAAGAAAAAATACTCCACCGTCCCAAAAAGATTGTCTTGATTCGCAATACAAGGGTCAAACTAATTAATGTTTGGTGTGAGTTCGAACATAGAATCTTCATTTTTAAATAAAATTTTACAAATTTACAAACTACATAAAGAGTACTACAAGTCAAGTTAGTTAACAATTCAAAATATTTAGAAACTATTTGAAAGAATTACGGTCAAAGAAAATATCCTTTGACAGTTCAAAATTTTGGGACAGAGGAGGTATGTTATTTGCCTAGGCACTTCGGCACTGGAGGTTTACATAGAGCCATGAACTAGTAAGACTGTCAATCATCCACTCATTCTAAACTACAATATGACCCAAGGTAAGCAGTAATTATCCTACAAATACAATATATATCCCTTTATTTAACTGTCTATTAGCTCCTTCCCCTCTCACTCAGCCTCCTCAACCTACAGAGTACAAAATCTTGATGGGTAGCACTGTGTAGAACTTCCACTAAGATAAGAAGCTAAGTTCTGCCTCAATCATTTTATAGCAAGAATTATAGGATAAGTTCACAATTCTACCTCCAGTCAGTATTTATTTGTACATAAAAAGTAAAGAACTACACTTCATTAGGATGAAGCATGTGTTATCAATGAACTTGGAAACATATCCACTTTTCTAGTGTTTTGTTAGAATTCGGATTTCTTTTTCTACATATAGAGAATTTTGACTATTCAATAAACCACTAGAATCTCAAATTATACGTATAGAGAATATTGACTATTCAAAAAACAGGAGGACAGAACATCCACCAAAGTTGTTCTCCCACTTCCCATCAGCTAATTATCCGACGATTCCATCTGCTGAAAGACAAATCTCAACTGATCCCACATAGACATTTCACATCCTATATCTTTTGCACTCAGCTTATAATACTAACTTTCAAGAACTAAAATAAATTCTGAGTATTATATTTATAGGAACATCGCTCATCACAAAAATGAACGCAGATAAGTGACAGAAATTTCAAACTTGAAACACTATTGGTGAAGGTGATGCCTAAGTAAGGATGAAGAAGTATCTATCAATAACACCTCAATCCCAAACTAATTGGAGTCAGCTATATGTACTCTCTGTATTCATTCCTCTCTTATAATTTGCCTATTTTTACACTATTTTCATTTGTCAACATACCAGAACCGTCTTATGTATAGGTGCTTGTGACTGCAAGCATTGAACATTTCAAATCTCGCTAAGATATCATTGTTGAGCTTATCAATTTAGCTAGCGTTTGTTCATAGCCTTTGAGAGTAGATTTTGAAAATTTATCTTTAGATGTCTATTTGGCCGTGAAATTTGATCAGATTCTGAAATTTTGATGTTCAAATATTTTCAAGTTGTCAGATCATCACTAACATATCATTGATGAGCTTTTCTTGCGTTTGGCCACATATTTTGATCAAAACTTTTGAAAAAATAATTCAAGTAAAATGCATGTCCAAACATAAATGAATTCACATTTCAGAAGTCACAGCCTCAAAAACTCAAATTTTCGTCTTTCAAGTTTCAACTTCAAAATTTATGGCGAACTAATCTTCTGTTATACTCTCAACCAAAGATCCAATTATCCTAAGCACAATACTCACCCTTTCTTCCCAGCAATGTTTGAACATAAAAAATAAGTAAGATGTTCACATACGTTGTCCCTTTTTTCTTAGCAGCAATCTTTCAACAGCAATAAAGACTCCACCTTTTTCCTCAACAACTCAAGATCCATCGATACCCATTTCAAATCCAACTAAAACAAACTAACAGAAGTGTATAAACAACATAAAAAAAGATAAAGAGGAGAATTTACCATAACCATCTTGAACAAGGAAGTTAAAAGTATGATGATCACAATTATAAGTGAACTTATTATTTGAAGAGGGCAATTTCTGCAAACACTGAGCTGCAATCGCCGGGAAATTCCCGGTGAACTCTGTGTATTCAGCTAGTACCATAGTACCACGAGCTACAAAACTGTATATGAAAGATTCTTGACCCATTTCGTTAAATTTCAGTAACCCAACTGAACTAAAGTCCGGGATGCACGGCGGCGGAGTATTACCGGGAAGTTGGCCGGAGCTTTTATTAATTTATTATTAAAAAAAATGCTCCTTTTTGCTTTGTGATTAAGGTAGTTTGTTTTTATTTTTGTGTAGAAATGAATATAAAGAAGAGCAACGGCGCCGTTGTAGTTTGAATAGATCAAGAAAATGGACTTTCTTTATATTTATTTAAATAAATTTATTTCCAAGAGGAGAAAAAAATATTTAACTTATTAATATTATATTTAAAAAATATTCTAGAACTAAATTGGGTTTGAGGGAAAGAAGAAAGGTATATTTACATTTGGCTTTGGGAGACAAAGGTTAACTTAGGTGGCTTGAATTGGTATCTTAATTTACCAACTACTTTGTTAACAGCAAGTTCGGCTTAATTAATCGAAACGAATATTAAAAAGATTCTTAAATTTGGGGAAATTTTTTTTGCTTTATTTTTCAAAATGTAATTAGCATTTTTCTTTTGGAACGTAGAAAACATATATTTTATTTTACGTATATGATATTTATTGTTAATTGAAATTATGTAGATATAATATCTGATATTCTCTGTTCCATTTTATATGAGGTGTTTTGATTTGGCACGAAACAAAAGAAATTTTTAAAATTTGTGGACGAAAATGAATGATAAAAATTTGTGTGGCTGTAAATCATCTTATTAAGAATAAAATAAATATTTTATAGTTAAATTATTACTTAATATAGAAATATATCATATTTTTGAAGATGGACTAAATAAGTCACATAAATTGGGATAGAAAGAGAGTGATATATATGTTTTGCTAATGGCTGCTAATTGTATATGTGTATATATATTTGTTTTTAAAGTAGGTATTGAATGTATGTGTTTTCAAAGTAAAAGTGGAATAAATATGTATGTCAGAGAAGACATTAACGGTAAGTGTTGTCAATTAAATCCAATTTATGTGTTTTCAAATTGTTTATGCATAATATTTAAGAGGTCAATTGTGAATGAAAGAATATGTAAAATGTATATTTTATCATGTATGTATGATGATCTTTATTGAAGTAGCGTTGATTTTTCGAAGATCAAACATATGAGATTGAAGTGGCCAATGGAGGCTAGAAATTTTACACACACATATATATGCTATAAAATTATATAATTTCTATATGCTATGTAAGTATTTAATTTTTCTATCTCAATTTATATGATGTTATTTTATTAGACATGAAATTTAAAAAATATAATGTAATATTTCCAAATCATTCTTAAGATAAATAAACTTTTAAATAAAAAGTACGCGTTTATAAAATAAAATCATAAATAAGTGAAATGCAATATGAATACATTGATAGTATCTTTAAATATTTTATCAAATTAAAAAATGTATTACTTTTTCTTTTTGTTGACTAAAAATTTTAATAAATTGGGAGAGGAAATACAACACGTAGAATTTAGCAACATTAGGTACTTTTTCCAAGTAATTGCTTCGGCTTATTGTTCCTTTTTCATATGATATTGATACTTCACTTTTAAGATACACATAATAGTTCTACTAATAAATTTGTATTAACTCATAATTTTTATGTGATAATATAAATTTGTGACTTTGTGATTAATAAAATTAGCAGTGTCGGCTCTTCCATATATTATTTTAGGTTACTGCCTTGTGGGGGCCTCAAATTTCTATAAAATAAAAAATTAAGTTTAATTTTTTCATGAAAAAAATTAATTATTTATAATACTATACATATATATATATACATATGAATATATATATGTATAATATTTTTTGTTAGCTAATACACACGTTTTTTATTTTTTTTTTAACTCCTTATGCACTCCATTTTTTCAAATCTTTGATATTTAGAGTAATATTCTGTCAAAAATATGAATGGATAGGTAAAAAGTGTTGAACAAAATAAATTATAAATATTCTTTTATTTCTTCGTAATTTTTATATTAAAGTAGGATAATCAAGTTATCACCTTTTTGAATCAGATTCTATAATTCTAACTCTTATCTTTATTTAAAATTTATTTGTTATAAAATCAAGCTCATAAGAGATATAAATATAAAGAGATGAAGACAAGAGAAGTAAGATGGAAGATAAGACTTTCTTCTTATTCAAGTGAATATAACTTTCATATATTTATATTACAATAGTGAATGAACAACCCTATTTATAGAGTGAGAAATCACTCCAAAGGTCACCATATTAAGTATCATAATAAATAGATACATTCTTATCCAAAAAAGTTCATGTAACCTAGTGAATATGAATGGTTGTTCATGTACCAACCTTATGGACTATCCACTCATTCAATGAATTTATAACACTCCCTTGGATGTCCATAGATAATGTGCCTCGTTAAAAACCTTACTAGGAAAAACCTGTGGGAAAAAATTTTAGTGAAGGAAAAAGAGTACACATATCTTTTGATACGCACCATTTGTTGCCTCATTAAAAACCTTGCCAGGAAAACCCAGTGGGAAAAAACCTCGATCAAGGGAAAAAGAGTGCAACGCGTATTGTACTCCCCCTGATTTAAACATCACTTAATTTCTTGTGATGATGTCTCCAATCTTCGTACATTGTGGTTGGTATATTCTTTTTTAAAGAAAAACCACACATTTCTTGAATATGGTGTGTCATTTATCTCAACCAAACACACTTTCAACTTGCTTCATGGAGGACTTTTATTTCTGCATAGCAACATTTGTTTGCTTCATTGATCGCCGGGATATAATTGTGCCTCCACATGAATACACATAGCGTGGTTGAGATAGAGCTTTATACGGATCAGATAAATATTCTGCATTTGCGTAACCAATCAATTTTGTCTTGGATTCCTCGGGATAGAATAAACCCATAACTATGGTCCTTCGAGGATATTCAATCATGTGCTCAACACCATTTCAATGTCCTTTTATCGGGGAGAAAATGAATCTTGCCAGTAAATTTACTGCAAAACAAATATCTGGAATAATATTGTTAGTAAGATGCACTAGTGCCCTGATTGCACCAAGATAGAGTTTCATCACCAAGAAACTCTCATCCTTCTTTTGAGATCAAACTGAATCATCATTTATGTCAAGTGATCTCATAATCATTGGGGTACTCAATGAATGCGATATATCCACATAAAATTGCATCAATATTTTTCAGTGTATGTGCACCGTTAGACAAATATTTTATTTGTCAAATTAACAATCTGTAGGTCAAGACAAAATTTTGTCTTGCCAAGACCTTTTCATAAAAATACAAGGACAATTAGGGTCATTTTTTTGTACCATTTTTCTTCCTTGACTATTTCAATCCATATAAGAATTCTTGAAGCTTTATTGGATAAGTTTCTTTCAAACTCTTATATGCTTCAGACACCTCGATTGTTTCAAGGATTTTCATATAACCTTCATTGTCTAGCTAGACATTACAATTATTCATTTACATGCATTCAAGTTTTCATATGTTGCCAGATCAAAACAAACCTCATTTCATCCACCAAAGGAGAAAACATCTCCACTAATGTCAGGATTTTTGCGATAAACCTTTATGCCCCAAGGCACAAACCGTATTTGATATCTTACGGTTATACTATCGCATAATAATTTATTTGTACCCCACTGACATTATATCTTGATTTATGGATTACCAGTCCAAAATGTCACTTTTCTAAGTGAAACAAAATATACTTGAATTGTGCATTTTACTTGGCCAACCATTTATCTGTCCACACTATATGACAGATTTGAATTCAAGATCCTCATCACAATTTATATCATTGAGCGCTACCTCATATCAAAGATACCGTTGACGGTTATTTGATATCGATTCCAACAAGACATAACTTATCGAGATCTCTTCATTTTTCATTATTTCAGGTACCTGAACCTTTTTCAAGATTTTATGAAGTGTTATGTCAATGTGCTCTTTTATAGCACTTGCCTCATTATCATGACCATATTGATCATTTGTTCCTTCCTTCTACAAGGAATTTTATATTTGGAATCGATTGGTCTATTACGCTTCTGGCGTATCATAGACTCTGTACTTCAAGGACTTCACATTGGAGCATTTGCAGCTGAATTATATCATAGGGTCAGTGCATTCATCTGGCAACTGATTTGCAACATTATGCAACTGAATTATCCCTTGAACTTTAAGTTCACATATTTATTTTAACGAGGATCTATATAATTCATAATTAACCTCACACATAATTTTTAGCTGTCAATCATCTCTCCCCCTAATGTTAGAAAATCTAACATTCATTCCAAAAGTTCATCTTTGTGCGTGGTGGAGTAATTAAAATCATAACCGCACATTCAACATTTTAGATGAAAATTATATGGTTCCTGACCATGAACCAATTTTAATGGGGAAACCTTGTTGGTTTGATACATACATGTGTTGCTACATGTTAAACAAAATTATCTCATACCAAATCATATTTGGGAGTTTTGTTCTCATAACCATGATTTGGCTATAATTGGAGGCATACAATTTCTGCTAAAATGAACCAGCATTATCAATATAATTTCATAGTTTGGAACTATGCTCTTAATTTTAACAATTTGAGCAAACAACCTTACAAAAACCAATTTGTAAGTTGACAACAAAATACATGTGACCATCGCATAGATGCATCAATCATATAGTTGCAAATGATCCACATGACAGGTGAACGGACCCATATTCACCCTTTTATATGTTCCAAAAATTTTTAGGGGATTACAGTCCCGACCTTAGCTGGTACAATGATCATTTTATCAAGAGAACAAGCAACACAAGAGAATTCTTGAAGAATCTTTATTTCTTCATCATATAAATCATCTGAATTCTCAATCACGTTTGCATTACATTTAATCAGAATGGTCAACCAGTCATGCCAACTGATCTTTATTTTAGTACACTTATAATTTACTTTTACATGTGATTTCATCAGCATGTACATGTTTGTATGGAACAAACAAGAGGAAAAGTGGGGTAATCTTTTACATAAACATTATAACCCTTTTCGGTTGTAGTGATTTATAGTCTCAATATTTATTTTCATTCATCCGAAACTTAAAAAGTTTCTTTTGAGACTTACTACAACCCCAATATTATTCCTCTAATAATAGCACAACTCGTTAGAGCTTGCAATTAATT